ACTGCCCCGTTTATATCCCTCATCAAAAAGGTAAATCAAAAAGTTAATAATAACACCGCGTACTATATAATATCCATATTTGTATTACCGACATTCCACAGAATAAACATAGAAAGAACAAGATATTTGAGGAGCTGAGGGAATCCAGTGTGCATTGGGATGCCAGGGCACGGTCGTTGGTAGTTGGACAGAGGAAGATATTGCAACGGTTCAAGGTCCTGACCTTATTATTTTTTCATAGGTGGATGAGAGCCCCCTGGATGTTGAAATACATTACATGTGTGGATGATGATCCGCACCGCACCACCAGAGGAAGGACTCAGAAACGCGCCTGATGGAGGAAGAAGAAAAAGGCTCTCGCACAGAGGTGGCTGGCTGCCATTAAGATCATCCGGCAGTTAATGAAAAGTTAACTTGGGATCTGTATCAACCGTTACACAGGCCTTGCCTACAACTAGTGGTGAGCCTGGAGGCTACTTCCTCCTTTTTAGCATCTTCATAGGGGCTGATGGAACCCCATTGGTCCGCAGGATGAATAGATTTTGCAAAAGTGATGAGGTTACCCAGAATGGCATTGGTCAAACATTGGTGCTCAGAATGTAGCTGTCGGGAGGATGGAATTTAGAAAGAAATTAATAGCAGAAATAAAGTATACAAGGGGAGACATAATTGTGCCAGGTGAGGTGGTAAAAAACTTGTGACCATTGAACGTTGAGAGGTGCTTCACATTGCATGAGACGCTCTATCTACATGATCAATGTTGCTGTTGCTGCTCTCGAGATCCTAGCTTTTGTAGCCTAAATCAGAGTTGTGTAAGTGATAAAAAAGAAATCTAGATTATATTAGCTTTTCTATCCCCTGCAGTTCAATGTGTTTTTAAAGGAAAAGATCTAAACTAGAGGGGTTGGTTGTTGTAATCCTTTGTTGGAATGGAGCCGCTTTTGTTATTGGTGACAGGGTTAGTGACGAGTAAAAGGGGAGAGAATGGGAATAGGCATTAGGTCTGTTCAGGCAGGATCGAATAATCTATTGTGTTGTGTCTTCTCTGATTGTGACAGATTCAATCAAGAATCTAGAAATAGAAGGTTTAATTACAAGCGCTTGAGCATGCATTATCTCAAACCTTGCCTCTTGCCCAGTGAGCTGACTTTATAGACTGCTTTGAAATCCATATTCATTGGCTAATGTAATATTTGGGACCCTGTCTTGGGTTCTTTGGAGGTCTTCCTCAGTCAAAGGTCTCCGCAGCCATGTGTGTTTCTTTACCTTCCACTCAGGTTTCTGTGTTAAAAACAGCGAACCTAGAGAGTCTGAGAGTAATCTTACCCCATTAATGTTAATGTGTTTTTTTGAGGATATGTTTTGTGCTAGGATTGGTGTTAGATTTAGTTGTAGTGGATTGATTCCACTTTTGTGTTTTTTATTTTGAAATATCACAAGTGTTGTCTTTGATTCGTTTTTTTTTTTTTGTTTTTGCGAGACAGGAGTCTCGACTTTGTTGTCCAGGCTAGAGTGAGTGCCGGTGGCGTCAGCCTTAGTCACAGCAACTTCAAACTCCTGGGCTCGAGCGATCCTTCTGCCCTGCAGCTCCCGAGTAAGCTGCGGATACAGGCATTGCGCGCACCATGCCGCGCTATATTTTTTTTTATATATATCTATCGTGGCCACTAATTTTCTTTCTATTTATAGTAGAGACGGGGTCCGGCTCTTGCTGGCCAATTAATTTCTTTCTATTTATAGTAGAGACGGGGTCTCGCTCTTGCTCAGGCTGGTTTCGAACTCCTGACCTCGAGCAATCCGCCCACCTCAGCCTCCCAGAGTGCTAGGATTACAGGCGTGAGCCACCGCGCCCGGCCTCAATACTGCTTTTTAATCATTTTCGGTAGCTATCAAAGGGCAGGCTTATAAAAGGAAGTTCATGGGAACTGTAGCATATTAATCAAGCTGCATGTGTTTGCAGAAAGGACCCCTGTATGTAAACTGGAAGACTGGGTAAAAGGAGCATAGGTCTGTGATGTGAGAAAGTGGGCACTTGCTTCCTTAGTTGGATCATCATGAGATGAATTAATGGATTAATGGGTTATCAAGGAAGTGGGACTGGTGGTTTAATCTACTGATCCATTAATGGATTAATTAGTTCATGTAAGCAGAGCCCTCATGAGCTAATCACCTTTTAAGCCCCCACCTCTCAATACTGCCACATTGGGGATTAAGTTTCAACATAAGTTTTGGAAGAGACATTCAAACTGTAGCACTCCTGCACCTCAGCTTTCTCTAAAATATGTACAAATCTTTACATCCTGGACTTCTCAGGAGAAAACGGAGAGTATGTTTGGAGGCACCTGGTTCATTATGCATAGTCATAGTTTTGTTTCAAATACTCATCTTGTGTGTGGATCAAAGATCTTTGTAGTTCCAGGGCTACTAATAGCCTAAAGCGTTTCTAAAGTTGGTAGCACAGGACAAGGAAATATAAAAACAAGAGGTTCTTATTTATGCCAATAACTGATCTTATTGTCTGATCTATAAGAATCATCCTCTCTTATTCAAACCTTGGCTTATTTAGACAGCTTGGGTACATAAAAAGCATTTTTCTCAACTCTACCTCCTTCAAAGGCCTGGTAACTTGGATATTATTATTCTATTTTTATGAGGGAGAGAAATGAGGATTTGATAAGTTGAATGAAATAGTTAGGGTTTGTGATGGATATTCTAAAATATATGTTTGGTCTTCAACCCTGTTTCTTGGCATACAACTCCTAAAATCCTTAGAATCTGCAAAGTGATGACTTTTTGTATGCTTAATGAGTTGACTAATGGCTAACAGCTCCTAGTAGCCTCAGGATGCAGACTGGTCATCAGGAAGACCAAGGCATGATTAGAGAGTTGGGACTTTCAGTCCCAGCCCCCAACCTCTGGGGAGGAGAGAGAGGCTGAAAGTTAAGTTGATCACCAGTGGCCAGTGGTTTAATCAATCATGCCTACATAATAAACCCTCCATAAAAAAACCACAAGGACTGGGTGCAGAGAGCTTCTAGATAGCTGAACACATGGAAATTCCTAGAAGGTAGTATGTCCAGGGGGGGCCATCTATATCCTTTATAATATCCTTTGTTTTAAACCTGTAAACATGTTTCTCTGAGTTCTGTGAGCTTTAGCAAATTAATTGAACCCAAAGAGGGGTTGTGGGAACACCTGATTGAAGCTGGTTGATCAGAAGTTCCAGAAGCCTGGACTTATGACTGGTGTGAAGGGGCAGTCCTGTGGGACTGAGCCCTCAACCTGTGGAATCTGTCACTATCTCCAGGTAGATAGTTTCAAAATTGAATTGGAAGACACCCAGATAGTGTCCACTCAGAATTAATTGCTTGCTTGGTGTGTAGGGAAAAAAACCCACACATTTGCTGACAGAAGTTTTCTGTGATTGTTGAGGTGTGAGAACAGAGGAAAAATGCTTTGTGTTTTTCCCCCTTAGAGGGACATATATAGCAAGTATATGGTCAAGACATGAGTCAAACAATTGCTTTCTTTACTTGTGACCTTTGAACCCAAGGCATGTAAGAATCATGACCATATAAGAAAGAGAAGTATAGGGTGTCAGAAAGCACATCATTAATTCACCCTGGTGGGATAGCATGAGCAGAATAGCAGGGCTGTGGGAATGATGCATGTCTAGGTGTGACAGCTGAGAGCCTAGTCTGTAGTACAGAGTGAGTCTCCTCGTGAACAAGAAAAAGAAGACTGCAAAATGTGTCATAAACAGGTTGGGGAGAGATTCTTAGTTTGCATGTAAACCATATAGTCACTATCTCCAGTGGAGGAGGTTATAGTTCTAGAAATATGCAGTGTATGACCTCTGTAATCATATGTGCAGTCCTGCAGGCCTTTGTGTTTTATATGCCCTACTTAATGGAAGAAGGCAAGTCAGGGACTTTGCTGGGGAGAGAATTAAATAGAAAATCCTCCTATGTCGGTTGGTCTGAATGCAGTGTTATTTACAACTAATTGATTACAACCAGTTACAGATTCCTTTGTTCCTTCTCCACTTCCACTGCTTCATTGACCAGCCTTTAAAAATTATTTAAAAATGTATATATATAAACATCCTCCTACATCAAGGAAATGAATTGAGGAATATAATTATATAAGTCAATTTGATCAAACAATATTATCTTTTCCCTTTAGAACTGGTTCCAGAATAATAGAGCCAGACTTCCAGCTGAGGAGAGACAGAGACTATTTCAGTTTTGGAAACAAAATTCCCAAGGCCAAGCCCATCCACTTTCAAGCCTCCAGGATACCCAAGCTGCAGCTCCCAGCTATGACAGCAAGCAGAGCCTGTCCTGTGCCCAGAAGGTTCTGATGGGTAGAGCTAGTTGCTCCTCTCTGGAGAAACAGGGGGTTCCCAGTCAACGAGCAGATTCCTGTTGCTCCTATATGGGCCAAGGCACTAAAAAGCAACCAGGTGGTGTTTTGGAGGATCAAGGTGACACAGAAAGTGGGCATTCTCCTGCCCATCCTTTTCTAAGCTATAGCTCAATAACCTACCTTCTTCCTCCTACGTCTTCCTTGCCTTATATTGTCAGGAAAAGGACTGAGACCAGAGAAAGCCAGCATGCAAGATTTTTTTATTCATATCATGCTCATAGTGAGTATGGAATGAGAAAGCAGCAGGAAAAACAGGAGAAAGAATGTCGTCATTATTCACTATTGCAAGGACAGCAGCAGAATGATTGGCACTATCATTTGAAACAGCACCAACAGCCTCAGAATTATCAAGACAGGCAACCCAGGGCTGAAAGGCAGCAGCCACCACCGGTGTCTCTGGGGCAAGACGTGCACCAGTGGGCTTCCTATCAACCCAGGGCTCCAACGCAGCAGCCACCACCACTGTCTCTGGGGCAATACATGCACCAGTGGGCTTCCTATCAACCCAGGGCTCCAACGCAGCAGCCACCGCTGCTGTCTCTGGGGCAAGACGTGCTCCAGGGGGCTTCGGAGCAACCCAGGGCCCCAACGCCACAGCCACCACTGCTGTCTCTGGGGCAAGAAGTGCTCCAGGGGGCTTCGGAGCAACCCAGGGCCCCAACGCCACAGCCACTGAGACAGAGTCTCACTTTGTTGTCCAGGTAGAGTGGAGTGCCGTGGCGTCAGCCTAGCTCACAGCAACCTCAAACTCCTGGGCTCAAGCGATCCTCCTGCCTCAGCCTCCCGAGTAGCTGGGACTACAGGCATGCGCCACCATGCCCGGCTTATTTTTTTTTATATATACTATATCAGTTGGCCAAATATTTCTTTCTATTTATAGTAGAGACGGGGTCTCGCTCTTGCTCAGGCTGGTTTTGAACTCCTGACCTTGAGCAATCCGCCCGCCTCGGCTCCCAAGGAGCTAGGATTACAGGCGTGAGCCACAGCGCCCGGCCTTTGTCTTTGGATTCTATCACACAGAACCTTTTAGATATACAA